AATGCCTTTTTTTTTTTTTTTTTTTTTTGGTACCGGGGATAGAACTTGGGTCTTTGCATTTGCGAAGCAGGCGGCAAAACAACTGAGCTAAATCCCCGGCCCTATAAGTATATATTCTTGAAAAGAAATGAACATGATCCATATAGAAGTTACTATAGAAAGTCTAAGCAACAGCTAGGCATGGTGGTTGGTGCACACCTGTAACACCTGTAATCCCAGCACTCTGGAGGCTGAGGCAGGAGGATCACTGCCAGTTCCGGACCAGCCTGGGCAACATAGTGAGTTCAAGGCCAGCCTAAACTATATACCAAAACCCTGTCTCAAAAAAAAAATCTAAGCAACAAAAAATGTTAATAAATAATGGCATTAATAATAATAAGAGCCAATCTTTTCTTTTGTTAATTGTGGTGCAAGCACGTGCTAAGCTCCTTCAGGTTCACTCAATGAAGCAGGTATCACTACTACTCTATTCATATTGAGAAGACAAAACTCTGTTTAAAAGATTGATTTTTCTTCGTACCAGCTGTCTTAAATGCAGTTTGGATGAAAACACCAAGAGAATAGTTCTGAGTTCTACAGTGTAAACTTACACCAGTTATTACTCCCATCTCTGCCTGTTTCCCTAGATATCAAGTGGAAATAATGAAATTTCCCATGTAAAGATTCAGTTATTTAACACATATATAGTTTTTATAACAGTACCTGACACAGACTAGTCCATGAATGTTAGCTCTTATTTTTTATTACCTGCAAGAATAAACATATGAGAAGAGCCAAGAAAATTCTAGGAGGAAGGAAGAAAACTAGGGTAGTTGATGTGGGCATACTAGATATGAAAAGAAACAGTTTAGCTACAATAATAACTGCTTCAAAGAAAACAGCTTGGAATCAGCAGACAGTTAAATGGAATAAAAGAAATCACAGAATTAAATTCCAGTGCATATGAAAATTCAGTACATTAAAGGTGGCATTTCAAACCAATGGAGAAAATCTGTGCTGTATGAGAAAATCTGCAGGGACAATCTGTTAGCCATTTGGGGAAAACAAATAGGATAACTTCTTTTTTCTCTTAATCAAAATTTATTTTATATGAAGCAGTCTCTTGTTTTAATGAAGTAATGCACTGTTTCAGGTGTGTGTTTTTTTAATATGGGGACTGGGGAAAGCTTACTTAAGCTCAAAGATGAAACCCAGAAGCCACAAAAGACAGGAGCAGTAAACATGACCACTTGCTACAGTCGAATGGGTCCCCCAGGGTTCATGTCTTGGAAACAGCAAGTGAGACAGTGTAGGGAGGTGGGCCTTTAAGAGGTGATGGTCATGAGGGCCCTGCTGTCATGAGTAAATTGACCATGCCCCATCATCCCAGAAGCGGCTTAGGTATGCAGGTCTGGGTTCTGGATGAAAGGATGGGTTTATCCTCTGTCCTCACTCACATCACACGTGTGCTCTGTTGCCCTTTTGCCTTCCACCATGGGATAATGCAGATGTGAGGCCTTGGCTTGGGCTTCTCAGCCTCTAGAATTGTAAGAAATCTCTGTGCTTTGTAAATGACTCGGTCTCCGATATTGTGTTACAGCAGCACAAAGTGGACCAAACCCTCCTTGATGAATAAATTTCTGTACTGTAAGGATAGAAATGGTCATGTGTGAGAAAAAAGAGTATGTGTCTTAAAATCAAAATAAAATATATGTAATATATAAAGGAGACCAAAATTAATTCCCTACTACCCAAAACTTGATACAAACCAGTAATGGGCAGACTAGATGAAAAATAGAGAAGTATATGAGTAAATTAATTATGGGAAGTATTCAAATGGCCACTAAAGGAAAAGAAGTTCAACCTTTTGATAATGTAAATTTGAATCACTACATACATGCATGTGCCCAAATGGCATAATTTAAAAGATTGATAATAAGTAACATCAGAAGAGCCTGGAGCAATGTGTTCTCAGCACTGCCAGAGGGAATACAGACGGGTGTACTTTTTTGTTGGAAATGTGGTGATGTCTGCTAGGATTTTAAGTATGCCCACTTATAGGCATTTACCCAATAGAAATCACTTGCACAAGTAGGTAAAGATAACATCCAAGCAGGGTATATTGTGTGGAAGCATAAAAGGTTGATATCATGGGGCTGGGGATTTAGCTCAGTGGTGCCACACCTGCCCTGAAAGCGAAAGCGCAAGGTCCTAAGTTCAATCCCTGGTACCAAAAAAAGGTTTATGTCAGCCAGGAAACTGAGGGAGCCTGATCCAAGCCTGGAGATCCACTCAAGCCAACGGTGCCCCAGGCTACCCCCTAACACCTTCTGCTTGGGGCCCCTTAGATCTCCATGGTCAGTTACTGACACACAGACTCCTTCAAACTATGAGTAGAATATCTCCAGGAACTTGGATAAGCCTTGGACACCTCTGAGTGCTCGTGAGCCCTACATCTGAAAGCCTTAGGACAGTTCCTTAAAATACACACACACATACACACACACATCATCATCATCATCATCTGAGGATCCAGCTAGGATGCATTCATTGGTTCAACCTGAGATGGACCCGAGATTTCGCATTTCCAACCAGCTCCAGTGATCCTGGTGATTCTGGTCCAGTTTGTAGCAAGGCCATGAAATGCATTCTACCTGATATGGTTTGGAAGTGGTTTGTCCCCCAACTGTCCCTGGGGTGGTGATGTTAGGAGATGGTGTGGCCCTTTAAGATGGCAGAGGTGGGGGGAAGGAAATTAGATCACTGGGGGCACAGCCTTCAGAAGTGGTTAGGTTCCCACATGACCCTGAGTGAGTTCTCTTGAGAATGAGTTGCTATAAGAGCAAATCTGAAGCCAGGTCAGGTGGCACACACCTGTAATCCCACGTTCTGAGAAGCTGAGGCAGGAGGATCACAAGTCCAGCCTGGGCAATTTAGTGAAACCCTGTCTCAAAATTTAAAAAGGGTAGGGATGTAGCTCAGTGCAAAAGCCTTGGATTCAATCAATCCCCAGTACATACTCCCCTCCAAAAACACAACCCTGAGCATTGACTTGCTCTCTGACTTTCTGTCTGGCAGTATGATTGCTCCCTCTTGTGCACTCCCCCCTACCATGACACCATCCACACAAGGCCTCCATCAGAGCCTAGCAGAGCCCAGTGCTAGGCCCGGGAACCCGAAGGACCCTGAGATAAATAAGCCTTTTTTCTTTATAAAGTTACCCAGCCTCAAACATGTTATCATTTTTAAAAAGGACAAACAAGCCAGGCATGGTGGTACATGCCTGTAATCCCAGCACTCCAGAGGCTGAGGCAGGAGGATCATCATGAGTTTGAGGTCAGCCTGGGCTATATAGTGAGTTCAAGGCCAGTCTGAACTACTTAGTGAGACCCTGGCTCAAAACAAAAGAAATGAACAAATGTACTACCTTTGGTCTGGTTATCTGCAGGCATGGCTTTCCCCAGCAGACCTCCAGGAAGGAAGCATCGGCATCACTTCCTGGACTCTCCTTTCCCTGCCAAGAGCCCCACAGCTTTGTTGGGCCCATAGCATTGACCTGGGAACCACTGCAGCCAATTTCACTGTCTTCACCATCTGGACCCTGCAGGGCAGGAGACTTGGTGGTGGCTGTCACTTCAGTGTCCCCCTAACTCCTCAGCCCAAGTTAGAAATTCAGTGCTTTGATGGCAGAAGGAGTCTCAGGCTGCAATCCATGCTGGTTGGACCAATATATCTTTTTTCATCTAGGCTCTAACATCTCTGATCCTATTCTAGTTACAGTATAAAAATTTTCCCTAAATTCCCAAAGTGTTTTCTCCCCCCCCCCCCATTTCCCTCTTCCCTTTGTCCCTGCCCTAACTCCTTGGTCACTTACAACAAATCTATGCCTTAAAAGGTTTCTTTGACAAAAGTAAAAATAATTCTAAGAGGTTAACATCAAAGCTGGTGAGTTTGAATTTCAAACACGTAAACTTGAATTCTTAATTACTTCCCCTTTGCCAGATGGTTTTGATCCAAAACTACTTAGGAACCAAGAATAAAAGCTGGAAGTGACAGATTTTTGCCTCCTGCCATGCCTCCCCCAACAGGGCCTGGGAGGAGGCGGCAAAGAGACCAGGGAGCCCCACAGATACACAGGCAAATCCCCTGTGTCCTCGGGACTCAGCAGGGAGAGGGAGCACAGCCTCAATTCAGAAGCAGTCCAGGTCCAGGGAGCTGCTCTGAGACAGTTTGTCTCAACTGGGGACCACCCAGGACACAGGAAAATCAGGGGCCCCAGGCTCCTTCCCCTTGGGAACGTCATCGGGTCAATGTCTTCCCACGCATCCCCTGACCAGACACTAAGTCATGATTGCATGGAGGGTGCAGAAAGAAGCTGTTCTCAAACGCTTCTTCCCCAGAACTTATATGGGAACACACGTGTTGGGAGGCATATGTGGCTTTCGGGCCACCTGCTCTGCCCATCTGTATCCCCTGGCCTTGGACTCACAGGTACACAGGCTGCAAACAGCCCTGTGGTTTCCAGGGAGGAAACAGCACCTCCAGGATGAAAAAAGATACCAAAGCTGGTCGCTGCCTTCTCAGAGCCCAGGCCCTGCACCATCCCAGTCCCAATCCATGTTACAATTAACACTTAGTCACATTTAAAGGACTGTCACAACCTCTCCAGCTACCATGGAGATGAAAGAAGTTTAACTTTTGCAGAACTTGTGCTTCAAATTCACACATAATTCTGTGGACACAGCTGCATCTCTTCAATGTGGATTTTATGTTTTTCTCTTATCACAAAAGATAGCAAAGAAATTCTGACTTAGAGATTCATATGCGGTGCCAGGGCACCAGGTAACATGGAAACTCAAGAGGGTCATGGCTAACATGACCCCATTATGACCCATCAAGCCTTGGTATTGTGAATACAACTGGTCACTCAGGAGCAGATCCCAGCCCTCAGAGCCTCCCCACTCAAGGTCACTCAGCTGTCCCTCAAGGTCACCCAGCTGTTCCTCAAGGCACCAAGCTGGCCCTGGTACCAGCCCCTGCTGCTCCCTGTGCCAGGATCACCACTCCTCCACATGTCGAGGGGGCGTGGCTCTCATTTCCTTCTAATGTCAAACAGGAAGAAAGCAGGGCTGGAGATGAGAGCTTGAGAGTCACCAGAAAAATACGAGGTATGATTGAAAACTAAGGTGAATGTTTCAACTTTAAAAATGTATCATAGCTAAAGGCACATTGCCATAAATCTCTCCACAAATCCTTCCACTCTTATGCCACCAGTCTTGCCACCCTCTGAAGCAGTGTCTTTAGTTATGCTGTCGTAATTGTCTTGAAGTCCTCCTGAATTAATTCGAAAAATTTACCTTTTATGGTCATTTTGACTTTAAGGAAGAGCCAGAATCTGCACAGTGCCAAATCTGGTAAATAGGATGATGAGGACACATTGTAATGTTTTCACGATCCCACCATTCCATTGGATTCACTCTATTTTTGACCACATGTCATAAAGACACTCATGAAAGAGCACTGCCACAACTGCTTCAGAAAGTGGCAAGATGGATGGGATAAGATTGAAGCTGTGAGGGAGAACTCTGAGGGAGTTTAATGGCAGCATGTCCTTTACTGTAATGTATTTTTTAAATTTAAATGTTCAACATATATTTCAGTCACACATCACAGATATGCTAGGTGAGGCAATGTGGACAGAGGGGAAAAGGCAACCTTCGCTGAAGTTCTGGGGTGCACATCTCTGTCCAGCAGGGAGAAAGAGGAGGCAGCAACCCAGTGGTGCCCCTGAGAAGCCAGGGAACCAGGACTGAGACCCTGGAGAAGCCAAAGGAAGAGAGCGGCTAGAGAAGAACAGGGGATCCAGGGGAGTGGCAGCTTGAACTCATGTGAAAGCACCAATGAGCCAACAGGGAGAAGAGGAGAGGAGCCCGCCACAAGGACATTTTGGGAACTAGAAACCAGGTGGATGAGAGGTAAGCAATAGCACACGTCCCTGGAAGTAGAATCCTGAGCTGGCAGCAGGAAAAGTCAAAAGCCCACCCACCAGTTTATGCGGTAGAATCCCCCCAAAGCCTGATCAACTGGTGACACGTGGCCCCACCGGTCACGGAGATGGAGGAAAAGGCTAACGTAAAGAGGATGCTTAGGACCTGGTAGATCCCCAAATGTCCCCTGCTCTGGTCAGCCAGGTCCCAGAGCTTCTGCTCCGTTGCAGAAGCCTGGGAATCTAGTTTCTCAAGAGGACAAATGGAAGATCTGGTTAGGAGGCGCCAAGCTCAAGAGCAAGGCTGCTTCTCAGGACAGTCATCACGTGAATGTTTCCCTTCCCCAGCCTGTGCCCCATTCAGTTCTCAGGATCCTGGCCGACATCCAGAAAGGAAACCGGAAACCAGTGAAGTTTCCAGCCACAGGCTCAGACAGCTGACGCCCACGCCCAGTTTCTGCATTCGGAGCATCCAAGCAGCCGAGCATGTGCGCTCTGAAGCACGGGCATGGCCACCCCACGCATCTACCACAAAAGGCACAGCCAAGGCAGCTGGAGGAAACCGGGACTCTGCAAAGACAAGACAGCTTTTAAAAATTACCATGAACATCCGTACAGAAATAAGAGGAGCAGTGTTATCCATGAAATGGTAACAGGGTACTCTAAGATGAATATCCAGAGAATAGAACGTACACTTCGGAAAATCGTGATGATAAAACCGAGACACAAAATAGAAGGAATGGGTGATAAAGTTGAGAATCCCCCAAGAAGTACAAGGAAAAAAATGCAAAGAAATGGAAAATATGAAGAAAAAGACAGGAGCTGGGCATGGTGGCACACACCTTGTAGTGTCAGCTACTTAGGAGGCTGAGGCAGCAGGATCACAAATTCCAGCCCAGCCTGTACAACTTACTGAGACCCTGCCTCAAAGTTTTAAAAGGGATGGGCTGGGGATTTAGCTCAGTGGTTCCACCACCTGCCTCGCAAGCGCAAGGTCCCGTGTTCGATCCCTGATACCAAAAAAAAAAGTTTTAAAAGGGTTGGAGGTGTAGCTCAGTAGTAGAACATTTGCCTGGCATGTGTGTGGCCCTGGAATCAATCCTCAGGACAGAAAAGAAGAAGGGGAAGGAAAAGACCAGCTTAAGAGGCTTAGTTTAAAATAATAGGTGCTCCATGACAAGACAACAGGGCTGGGTGTAGCTCAGTGTGAAATGCTTGCCTGGCATGTGCAAGGCCCTGGGTTCTATCCTCAGCGCCACAAAAAAATAAAAATCAAATGTAAATTAAGATAGAGAACAGAGAAACTGAAAGGGAAGAAATCACTCAAGAAAGCATTAGAGCTGATTTCCCAGAAGTGAGGAACATATTTCCGTTCATAATGACTCAGTCACTCCAAAGCCCAACCCCATGACATGTGAGGACACTGGCCACTATGAGAACAGCGTCCAAAGCTTCCAGAGGGGAAAGCAGGTCACATACCAGAGACCATGAGTGAGATGGATGGCCTGAGACTTCCCAACAGCAACTCTAGAATCCACAGACAGTGGAGCCATACCCACCATGCTCAGAAGAAAACACATGCTGAGTCGAATTCTAGGCTTAATGAAACTAAAAAATGTTATTTTCAGAAATGTATTTTTTTATTTGTTTTGTTTTTGTTTTTTGAGACAGGGCCTCAACATGTAGTGCACGCGGGCCTTGAAGTCACCATGTAGCCTAGGCAGCACTCAAACTCATTGTAATCCTCCTGCCTCGGCCTCTGGAGTGCTGGATTATAACAGGTATGCACCATCACACCCACATCAGAAATGTAATAACACAATATTCATCTCCAAGGTCCCTATCTCAGGAAGCTACTAGTTGTTGTTAATGGGGAAATATGACAAAAATCTCCCAACCCAGAAAGCCTCTCCACAAATATAGTAGAAAAAGAAAAGAGTTTTATTACTGAATAAGCATTCAACCAGAATGTGGTGGACATCAGAGGCAATCTGCTAAGAGACTGCAAAGACAGAAAGAAACTCACCTTTTTATGTCATCAAGGAAATACAGGATATTATGTTTTGAATAATTAGTCCTCATCTAAGTGAAGTGAACTCAGAGCAAACCTCCTGCCTCAGCCTCCCAAGTGCTGGGATTATAAGTGTGCACCACCGCTTCCAAACTTTTAATTTTTATTTGCCCTAACAATGTGTTCGACAAAAGTGAGAGGGTAAATGAAGAAAGAGGAAATCTTGCGGTACCAAGAAGAGGAGAGGAAATAGTGGGTCGAGGTGAATTTGGGATAAGGGCAATGCAGACTGGAATGGTCAGCAAACCACCCCCAGAGGGTTTTCTTCAAGGATATGAAATTCTGAGCTCCTGTTAAACCCAAATGCATGATAATATAAGGATCAGCTAGCCAGGTATGGCGACACACACTTGTATTTCCAGCTACTTGGGAAGCTGAGGCAGAAGGATCACTGGAACCAACGAGTTCGTGACAAGCCTGCACAACAGGCAGAATCTACCTCCGAAATGAAGCAAACAAAAGCAGCAAACAAAAACCAGGAAAACCAAAAGTTGGACAAAAAAGGAAAAATGATCCTAATTCATTGCATGGCTCCTATGTGAGCAGCATTTTCAAGTCTCACCACTGCACACCCTAGATAACATCTCCATGAAATTGTCACATCTCTTTATGGGGCTGCTGGCGGGAGGGCGGCAAAAGAGTCTCACCTCTGAGCCCAAGAGGCAGCAAAGGGAGCGGGGCATTAGGAACACAGCTGTAGATGTTAAAATAATTAGCTAGATGTACCTCAGACAAAGGTCTACTATCGAGAATATATAAAGAATTGAAAAAAATTAGACCCCCCAAATTCAAAGACCCAATTCAAAAATGGGCATCTGAAATGAACAGACATTTCTCAGACAAAGAAGTAAAAGCAGCAAATAAACATACAAAAAAATGTTCAACATCACTGGTCATTCGAGAGATGCAGATGAAAACAAAACTGAGATTCCACCTCACCCCAGAAAGAATGGCTGCTATCAAGAAATCAACCAATAACAAATGCTAGTGGGGTTGTGGGGAGAAAGGAACCCTTCTCCATTGTTGGTGGGAGTGTAGACTGGTGCAACCACTGTGGAAATCAGTATGGAGATACCTCAGAGAACTAAGATTTAGAGGTCCCATTTGACCCAGCTATTCCCCTGCTGGGTATCTTCACAAAAGAATTAAAAGAATCATACCACAGCAATATATCTGCACCCATGTTTACAGCGGCACAGTTCATAATAGCTAAAACTTGGAAACAGCCCAATTGCCCATCAACTAGAAACTGGATAAAGATGTGGTTTTTTTATAAAATGGAGTACTACTCAGCCATAAAGAACAAGAAACTAGAGTCATTTATAACTAAATGGTGCACATTGAGGCCATCCTCTTAAGTGAAATAAATAGGACACACATGTGCAAATACCAAATAGTTTCTCTAGTGTGAGAAACTGAAAGTGTAAATAAGGATCAAAATTATTAAAATGAATAATTGATAATTTGAAATAGGAAAAGGTCCAAAGGGGTAAGGGTGATGGGAGGGGAAGGGGAAAGGGAAGAAGGAAAAGGAAAAATTATGAGAAAAGAAAAAAAAAGGAAATGAAGTCTATGTAAATAGGGAAGGGTGGAGGGGGTGAAGGGTGCACAGGTAATGGGGAAAAAATAAGAACCAAGATACATCTTGTACAGGTACAAGCACCCAATGATAAGTGTAAACGTATTGTATACCTAAAATGTACCAATAAAAGAATTTTTAAAAAATAAAATAAAATAATTAGCTAGAGACAAAAGGCGTTGTGTGTGTGAAAGAGAGTTTGGAAGCAGGGGAGAGGAGGCCTTCTGATTCCCCCCAGAGTCTGAAACTGTGTGACTCTGTGAAGTTGTGTTGCTGGGGCTCAGGAAACGACACCCCAAAGTGAAAACCTCTGAAGCTGAACTTCTCTCTGACCTCCTCCTTCTCTCCAGACTCTCACCCCTCAGCCTCCTCCAAAGTTAGCCATAGAGATTAGAATTCCTCTTCCCAAGGCAGCTATGACTCAGACAAGCCATAAAACCTAAGACATTAACTTTCTGCTTCCCTTTTGGCTATAAAGGACTTCTCTGACCTACCCTATTTGATATAAGGTCATAAGACCCCGTGAGGGTCCTGCCTCTCCCTGGAAGAGACAGTGCTGCCCAGATAGGCCAATAGAATCTGCCCAGGCAGGCCTTGTTGGGTTCCCCTCTCAGCCTATTTCCATTAGGTCAGACCTTTCCTCCACTCTTATTTTCACATAACTGCCCTTGATTCATCAAACCTAGGTTTAAAAACAGATAGTTCAGTGGTGGGTGTGGTGGCACACGTCTGTAATCCCAGCACTGAGGAGACTGAGGCAGGAGGATTTCCACAAGTTCAAGGTCAGCCTGAACTACATAGCAAGACTCTGTCTTTAAAAAAAACAACAAAAGACAGTTCACCTTGGATCTTTAATCTGAAGCCTCCTGAGTCACATAAAGCCATGATCAAATAAATTTGCAATGACTTTCCTCCTGCTAATCTACCATCAGTTTATTTCAGCAAGCTCATATTCAACCTGCAGAGAGACAGTCTAAACTTCCCTATGATGGGTACAGCTTTGATAAAATGAGAAGGTAAATTATAAGCAACAACTTTTAAAAATCTATTGTATTAGTGAGTACATTTCCTGAGGACAGAAAAAAAGACTGAAACATGATACTTATCTTGTGGAATTCAGCATACAAAAGAAAAATATATGGCACAATACAATACAGATGTTGTACTGGAGATGTTTTTTTAAAAAGGTTTGCTAGGTCCTTGAAGCCGAAGACTACATTTGCTGTTATCCCCAGTGTATTGTGTGAAGAGGCAGGTCAGTGACAGATGAATGAAAGAAGGTAAATACAAGCATGGCCACTGAAAGGACAGAACAGAACATGCTACTACTGTGATGCTGAAATATGATAAATACATATTTGGTCTCTGGCCCTGGTTCCTGGCACCGAGATCCTAAAACCCTCAGAAATTCCTGAGCTACTGTGGCTCTAGGTGTATCTTCTATTCTAGACGCTGGCCTCTGAGCACATTTCCTGATGTAGACTCCTAATCCTTTGGAAATTCCTGGTGGTAGGAGTATCCTGTGTTCAAATGTGGTGACTCTTTGTGAGCTAGGAAATGGGGTTTGCCCCCCGAGAAAGACCAACCCAAGATGAGAAGCTTGAAATTTTCAACCCCACCCCACATCCCCAAAGAAGGGGAGAGGGCAGGAGTAGAGGTAATCATGAATCATGTCTAAGTGAAGAGGCACCTATAGAAAATGGGCTTGGAGCACTCACAGGCTGCTGACCCCATGGAGATGTCCAGAAGGTAACCCTTCTAGAGAGGCCACAGAAGGCCCACAGCTTCCCACATCTTTGCCCTATGCATGTCTTCCCTTTGGCTGTTCATCTGTATCTTTTATCACATCCTTTATTCATATAATGAAGCAATAAGTATGAGTGTTTCCATGAGTTCTATAATCCATCCTAACATGTTACTTGAACCCAAGGTGAGGGTTATGGGAGCCTTGATTTATAGGAGGTCAGTGAGAAGTACAGGTGACAACCCACTTACTGCACCTGACTGGCGCTGGAAGTAGGGTCAATCTTGTGGGGCTGAGCCCTTCACCTGTGGGATCTGTGGGTAGCTCCAGGTAGATGTGGTCAGGAGTGAGTTTAAATTGTGTGACCCCTCATTGATATCCGCTGGAAGATTGTTGATGGTAGGAAGAAATCCCAGCACATTTTGGCACCCAGAGGTGAAGTATTCTTTTGTGAGAGTGGAAAGATTTTTCAAATGTGTTTTTAAAAAGCTTCTTGCATCTCTATCTATATGGTAAAGTAAAAC